GATTTATCAATTTTAGAGGATATCAATTCTATAGTGATTATTATTATTATTATTATTATTACAGCATATTCATAGTGCACCCTTTCATATAACATGTTCAGGGGCACTTTACAAAGTGACAATGTAAATCACACATAAACAACAAGATTGTGGGCATGTTAACGATTGTATACAGAGTCAGTTAAAAGCCTGTGTTTTAAGTTGTTTTTTTAAAAGAATACAGAGATGTACAACATCTTAAACTAAATGGTAGATTATTCCATAAAACAGGTGCTTGATAACTAAAAGAGCGCTGACCATAGGAGACTAGTTGAACAGTTTTGGGCTTTAAAAGTAGTTTATCTGATGTACGTAATGTTCGGCCAGGTGTATAAAGTTCTAAAAGATCTGAGAGGTAAACAGGAGCTAAATTATTTAAACATTTAAAAGTAAGTAATAAAATCTTAAAATCAATTCGATATTTAACAGGTAACCAGTGTAAATTATATAAAACAGGAGTTATGTGGTCACATTTCTTAGTTAAAGTAACAAGTCTAGCCGCAGTATTCTGTACTTTTTGCAATTTATCTATAAGCTTTAAAGGTAAACCAACTAAAAGTGAATTAAAGTTATCTAATCGAGAAGTGACCAGAGAATTAACAAGTGACTTAGTGGCCTCTACAGTTACACATTTACGTATTTTACCTATATTTCTAATATTAAAATAGCACAATTTACAAATATTATTTACTTGAGCTCCCATAAGCATAAAACTATCAAAGATAGCGCCAATATTACGAGCAGAATAAGATGAAAATATATCACAATTACCAATTACAACAGGGGGGTTATCTTGTCAATATAATTCGAGCTGCAAATAAAACTAAACTATCTTTGTTGTGTTCATAAAGAATGAGCTTCACGGCTTGTCATTATAATACTTCAATTATTTTGAGACAAACATAATAATGTCCGTTTCTATGGCCACATGTACTATGCTACAAAAGAGAGAAAATTGTTTGTATCCGCCTACTTATCGGATATCCATGAATTTTAACTGCCAAAGTTCGATGAAATCTAAATAAATCGTGGCATAGACGACTTACACAGAATAATATATAACGACTATTGATAACAAATATCACTTTTATCGACATGTTTACTTTTACAGTCCTTTTTTGGTAATTATTTTAAACTGTGAATTAAAAACATTCATTAATAATGGACATTGTGTTTTTTTAGATTTTAATTAAAATGTATTTCTTTACATAGAATTTTCCTGTACGCATTACGGAATTCTGTGTTCTTTAGTCCATACACCATGAAGTTAAAACTCGAATTTAACAGCCCAAAAGTGAACGCGAAATGCACCACGGGTGTTGATAATGGTGAATCAATCATTCCAATAACAATACATGTATTTGAAGGAATCCAACAAATTAAAAACATACAAAACAAAATGAAATACAATGTAATAGATTTCCCTTCGGTATTGCAAGTCCCAGCGTTAATTTCTTGGGCTCTAATCACTCTTCTTTGTTTTAATGCCATGAAACTGATATAACCATAGCAACCAAGGGTTGCCATGGTTATTAAGGCATATCCAATCAGAAATATATATTTCATGCTAGTTGACAGAGCAACGTAGTGGGTACAAATAAAATTAGTTTCTTCCCAGTTGTTGTTAAAATAAACTGTTCCGCCTATCAAAGCATTCGAAACCCAAGTGTAAACTATAAGACCGAGGGCGTGACTCTCTGTCATGACCAGTTTATATTTAAATGGAAATCTTATATTGAAAAATCGATCCAAGGCCACTATTGCCTGCGCACATACAGTTACACAATTTAGTGCGTAGGCAATTGCAAAAAATGTCAAACAAACATACTTATGGCTATAAATATGTCTTGTATACGGAATATCAAATAAAATAATATTCAAATTAACAAAAACTGACAGTAGATCAGCAACCGTCAATGATGCGATATACATATTTGGAATAGTCCTTAAGTTATGCGTTTTATATATAACAATTAAAGTTAAGGTATTACTGAATAGTGTTATTATAGCCAGTATAAAGTTTATGACAACTGACGCCACTTCCCATCTTTCTATTTCCATGGTTACACAACGAATTCAAACTGAAATAAATCCAATGTCATGAATATACCAATCTTAGAAAACATACGAAACCATCTTGCCTTTATTCTCAACACTGTAAAATGACTAATGCATGGTTATTTTTTCGTGTACATACGTCATATCCATACTGATTTTGTTACAGTTTAATCCAGGGATCCAAACATGTTTCAACCATGCATGTGAACGTTTAAAAAGTTGGCTACTTTATACACTAAATTATACAGGATTAACAAATACCAACCACTCCGCAGTTAAAAAAATCCCAGTAACTTTCTGGAGGCGCATCGCTCTTAATAGACTACAGATCTTTTTGATTTCGTAGTAAGTTTGAGATATAAAAGGTATTAATATAAAGCAATGAATATTTTATTCTCAAAATAAGCATTATAGGCAACAGCGTCCCCATTAACGTGAATTATGCAGGCTTCACCCAATTTGCTTTATTATAATATTAATGTGACATTCCTTTGACAAAAATAAACGTTAAATCAGATTATTACAATACCAATTAACTATAATGACATTTTTGCCTTGTTGTCCCATTAAGTATAAATTAGATATTGTGAAATGCTTTTAATATCGTTTGGATGACTAAACGATTACTTATACACAAAACTTTTCTATATTTTTATTTTAAAGCCATTAAATAATTAAACAATACAACTATATATATTTGTCCGCGAAAGCACATTTTGTATCAATATTCAAAACTTCCAATGATGTCCTGAAATTAATGGCCTTTTTTTACCTAGTTAAAAAGGGAATACACTAATAGGATTAATGTGTGTTCTGCATTTTCCATTTAATCTGACAATATCGTTTTTTGCAAACCGCTATTCTATAGATTGGAAAACATAATTACGTGTTTCAGACGTTCGGTCGAAACACGTATTGTTTCTATAAATGTTTTTATTATCTATTTTTTTTTTGGGGGGGGGGGGGATTTAGTCAGTTTGTGCAGCCAAAATTCTACATGGTGCAAACATTATGCCAACGTAGATGCGGTTGACCTCCGTGGATCTATTTATTAAATATAAATTGGGTCATTTTTGACAAACAGGAAATATTACGTATGGGACAAAAAATAATCCCAGATTTCCCATATCTCGGTTATTTGACCACTTCCGGAACTTTCGGAAGTTACCGAGGCCTTCCGACTTTTCCCGAACATGAATAGTTCTCTCCATTTCAAAAATAGATCAAAAATGACATATTATGGTGGTGTTACCCCAGATATCATCGTTCATTTTCAGAGACCTTGTTCGATAACATTTTCAACCGTTTGGCCGCTATAGATCAAAAATGACATATTATAGTGGTGTTAGCCCCAGATATCATCTTTAATTTTCAAAGACCTTGTTCAATAACATTTTCAATCGTTTGGTTTTACAAAAAGAAAAAATCTTCAAATCGATATTCAGTCGCCATTTTGATTCCGATTTTCGAAAACTTTTTTTTGTTTTGAACCTACTCCAAATGACAACAATTCTTAGGGAGCCAATTTTTGAATTTCAATTTCGTTTATTTCCGGTTTCACTTTGAATTTTGTTCGACTTTCGACCTTCTATCTGGTGACCTATCCTTTTAATGACCGTTGACCTTTTAATATATGGTGACCCTCGTGTCTACTAACAATTAATATCGAAAAGTTCGGTCTTGAAGTATAACTTCCGGTTTTATTAAGAGTTCAAAATGACAGGTTTTTCCACTTTAATAGTTATTGGGATGTAACTATACTCAATAATTCATAGTGTGATTTGATTGTTGACGTGACAAGACATGACCTGACGTGACATGACGTACCGAAACACGTCAACGTCAGTACTCCTTCGGACTTTTAGTATAAAATTGTTATATCTTTTTATCGTCATTAACGCTATAATGTGGCAATATTATGCAGTGTTCGATTCATATTATTTTTTTTTTTTTCAGAAATCATGCTTGATGATTTAAGTTTTTTCAAACTATTTCTTTTCAAAATATAAAAAATTAACAATTATAGCGAGTCCCTTTATTATAACACACAACAGTGTGTCGGGCGTAGCGACGCGGAACATTTACAACAAAATGTCCCCCAAACCCTCGACACACTATTAAGTTTTTACCTAACAATCCACTGTTTCAACATTTTGATAGCCAGTATAGATCACTTTTCCATGGCCGTTCATCAAACATTTATGGAGATGACTAAAAGGTATAGCCGTACCCGAAACACATATTCCTGAATAAAGACGCATTTTTTATAAAACTAAAGTCAAATTTTACGTGAACTTTTCATTGATTCACTATGGTATAAATTAATTTACTCATGCTAAATGTCTATAGATTAAGAGATCCATTGCAGGTATGTCCTAAGAGTAGGAAGTTGTGCGAATTTGCAAAACTATATAGAAAAGATAACAGGTTGTTTAACTTATCCCGAGAAAGACCAGTAGTTACATCTATATTTATAGCAAACCTCTCTTTTTCTCACCCCCCCCCACCCCTTTGAATTGCAATTTTTGTGGACTTTTTGGACGTGTAAAAGAAAGTTGTATGAAATTAATTTTGTATCAGATTTGGTAAATATTGATGGGTGAAAGTTTCAGACATGAATAAGGAAAATCACGTTCCAAAAAAATATTTACAGCTTATAGATGGTCAATCCCGGTCATTTGCTTTGTTTGTAAGTAGTGAAAGCAATTGCCCGACAGTGCTCAATTTAGCTTTAGTTTGCTCAGAATAATAAATGTCCCGGTTTCTTCAATGATTAATCTGGTAACCCTAAGCCGGGCAAAGAGACAAGAATTAACACTATGGTCAATGGGGAAATTAATAGTGGTCTTCCTCCAGTTATATATAGCTGCAGTAATCTCCCTTACACCGTCTTTATCGCTTCCGAGAGGCGGCGTTTATAGTAAATACCAACGATGGCGTCAAGTTCGGTTTTCTTAGTTATGGTCAGTGGACAAATCGAGTCGGCAGAGGTAATTGATTAATGTGATTATGTAATGTAATACCAAATTGGGTTTAACATCATAAAGAGATAGTTTACTATAATATTTCCAAGTCAGATTATGTGTTTTATTTTCTTTAGACCTATAGATAGATCTAATCTCATGATAAATAATTATTGTAAACAAGCTATGACAAGTCCGGTTTGAGTTTTTGTCTGTGTAAAACCATTCTCGTAGACATTCGAACTAATGAATCATGATTGTTGACTGACTACAGAATATTACCCCCCCCCCCCCCCCAATAACCCTGGTAGTAGTGGTAGATCTAGAAAACGTGATAATATTACAAGATCATTTTTACCTTCATCATAAGCTCTTTTTTTATGATTTGTCAAAATTGTGTCAGTTCAAGTCCTGGGTTTAAGGCATGTTTCTGAAGCAACGAGCTATGTTTAAGGCAAGATCAAGCCTTCTATTGAAGATGGGGTCAAGGTGGTGTTGTGTCAGTTAGATCAGGTGTAGCACTGGTGTAACGCTAATCTAATAAGGTTTGTTGTGGTGTTAAAAGGCCAATCTCAATTATATTTTGGAGAAAAAACTGCTTAATTTTCTGTGAAAAGCCCTTAAAAACCTCTTCCTTAGAGCCGAGCAACTAACCTAATATACGTGGTACGGTTTCAAGTAAACCTGTCAGTCTTCATCTGGAAATGGAGACCTGTGTACTGTATTATACGGTATCTGGATAAACCAGAGTTTTATTTTATAACAATAATGTGTAGGTGAAATTTACTGTTCGTTATGAAGTACAGCACATACACCACACACTGTTTTGACCTCTAAAAGAACGGTAATAAATTATCAGGTCACCCAATGAAAAAAATTACCCAAAATCTTAAAAGATTATGTGTCCGGATAAACGGTTTTGAAGTTCACACTTAAACGACTCAATATTTTGAGCTGAAATTTTCAGATAATGTAAATACACGTTACCATTCCTCTATATTTTGACGTTTAAATTTTATACGTACATAGACTTTTATTTCTGAGACTGTTAAAATCGGCATAGTCCCTTTAAGGTTGTGTTAAACATGTTATATATTTACACAAGATGAACACTAGGCCTATTATTGTGTATCTGTCTGTGTTACCCAAACACTAACTTATACCCAAGCCATTCAGTTTGTCTATATTTTCAATATCAATTTCCTGATTTAATTAAGAAAACAAATTTACAGCTTTGTGCAATATTATTTCTAATTACATAAAAACTTGTAAGATAACAATAATAGCTTGCTAAAAGTTCTTATCTTGTTGAAAATATATATAACACTAACCCCTATGTGTTAGGAAAATCTCAGTTTGAGTCATTTATTACAACATTGATGTGAAACAGCAGACAACAAAAAAGGGATTTTTTTTAAGGCCTTCAGATTTAGTTTTCACAATTTCAGGCTTAAAATGATGTTTTTACCCATAAATGACCAAAACATAAGACAAAGAAATGTTGATCTCAGACCTGATTTGCAAGAAATTCCAGAAAGGATTTTTCGACTGAATAATGATCAGAAAGATGAACTTTCTATTGAATACAAAACAACAGAAATTCAACATAAATCTCAGTTACTTATCTTTCCGAAAGAAGTTAGAAGTTTTTCTCAAATACCTTTTGTTTGGTGGTTATTATAGTCTGCCAGCCCATGCAAAGATTTCAATGCATTAGAACAGGAGACAAAAACAAAACTGGAACAATTAAAAATAACACTGGTATTAAACTTGTGTATACACTTGTGTAAACACTAGTATTAAATTGAGAGGCCCAGGTTAAGGTATAAAAAAGGGATTATAGACATAACGGCCCTAAACTATAACGGCCAGTTGTACTGGATTCTACGAGTGACTTTTGGCCCTATGATGTCAGACATTGATTAATCAATCAGTGTTGACGTTTCTAGTGGTTTAACCACAGTTTCGTGCAGGGTATGCCAAGAAGTCGCGTAACAGATGGTTTCATTGGCTAACCCCTCAGTCACGCCATCCAGAAAGAAGGTTATCAACTCTTCCAAAGCCTAGTGTAGTACAGACAAATAAAACGAAATTTTGAACTATAAAAAAAGAAATAGGATCTGTGTTTTAATCAGATTGCAAACTGTTTGTCCGTTATGACTAAAGTAGAGTCGTTTTGACCAAACCTGTTTTTGGCAGTTATGGCATAGGACCAGGGCTGCCGACAACCAGTATCGCAGCACAATTTGCGATATATATTTTGTCCCTTGCTAATCAAAAATTATAACGTTTTTGATTCGCAGTGACTGCGAATCATTCATATGTCTGTCATTTTGGATATTGACACAAAGATTTACCCACATTTGAAGACAAGAAGGCTTTCTCAACACTTTCAACGTGTATAAAATGTCAAATAAAATATTATAAACACAACAGAATTCTCCGTCTGACAGTTTCTTCTCAAACTACCCAGACAGAATTCATTACGGTATGCTATATAATACAGCGACACAACTCTATGAATAGGGACTATTTAACCGGAGATGGGGAATCAAGTAGTACCACTCATGTTGGGAGACATGTCAATTTCGAGTAATTACATCAGTATTCAATTTGAAAAAAAAAAAATCAAGTGTATTCCCCACGTATTGTAAATAATATGTAAAAAAATAAATACATATAAACGTATTGTAAAATCAGAAATCAAAGTAAGAATTCTGTAAATTATAATGTCAGTCTGTTACCGTCAGTCTGTACATTTTTCAGTCTATAACCATGAGTTAGGGGGGGAAATTTAAGTGACATGCCCTTTTCTTTTTATAACTGATAAGTTGAAATCAGAGGATATTCACATTTTTATTGGATCAGACAAAAAACAAATTACTGAAGAAATTATTTTGAATATTTAGTAACAGACTGACGTCAACATAATACCATCTATTGATGTTAGATTTTCTACTTGAAATTTTGGTCTTATTATTATTAACAGCATTCTGATTTTAATTTACAGGAAAATCATTATAAAGCACAATTTCATTAATATATTCACAAATTTACTGAGAGTGAGACATTAAAGCGAAATGGTGAAAATGGCAGTGTCTGACTGGGATGTCCGTTGTATGTAAATATGCTCAAAGTAGACAAAACAAGCTTTCTTTTGGTACCAAAAACATTGGTGTAGCTTAATATTTCAATTTTACCACTTAGGTTAACATTTTCACAGAATTGCCCTATTGTTTATTTATTGGTTTATTTCCTCGTGTGTCCAATTGTTTTCTGACAAAAAAATGACAATTAAAATGAGTGGGGGTGGGGCTTCGGAAGCCACTGCCAAGAATTGGCTTCAGACAAAGACCTAACCAAAAGTCTACATCACATTGACAAACTGTCACAGCTACACCTGTAGTGTAGCAGTGCTAATAAAATTTTAAGAATGAAATATAATCATTTGTTACGAATAAAAGTAATATCTGTTATTTAGTTGTTGTATATGAAACTGAAAAACTGCTAATCAATTTTTAAATTTGCTAATCAGATTTGGCAAAATTAGACTTTTTGAAAGCAGTACTGCTAATCAACTGTGAAAAATTACCGACAGCCCTGCATAGGACCGTTATGACCACATCCCTAAAAAGAACACCAGTTTTATTTTCCACACCAGTATTAAACTAGTGTATATACGGATGTAAACAGTATTAAATTGAGAGGCTCTGGTTAAGGCATAAGAAAGAACACCAGTTATATACCACTACAACACAAGCATATTAACCGGGACTTGATTTGACCCATCCATTGCAATTTTCTAGTTTGGTATTATTAGTATTTATCTCTTTCTATGGAATTTACCTTGTTAAATAATTTCAGTCCATATAGATCTATCTGAAGTTAAACTATTTTAGAATTTAAGAGAGCGCATCCACATCTGAAGATGCATAAACTACAGAATAAAATACTTTAACATCCCACTAATGGGCATTATGCCTATCTATGGATGGTACCATTTGCTATTTTCTTATACACTGACAAAAATTCAAGCTTCAACGGGGAGGACATGTCTGTTCTGTTTTTTTTTGTTTTTTTTTTTTAAACATCAGCTTGCACAATAGTGATATCGCAGGGAGGACAAGTCTTTAATCTAAGTTACATGTATATACATATAGACCTAATCCAGAAGTGGAAAGTCTATTCAAATCTAACTTCACACACCTATATAAGATTTAGATAAAGAACTGGCTGTTATTGCTGTATAGTTCAAAGATGGATTATGAAAAATAAATAAGCTTATTAATGATATTGAAAATTTCAATCAAATTACTTTATTCAGAGTAAAGTTTTTAGTGTTTAAAAGTTTGACAAGATTTCCAAGTACGGTACTAGTACTACATGTATTTATACAACAAAGTCTTGATTATCCATTTTAATATTAAATTATGACAATGGTGTTCTAATCCAATCAATATCATTCTGATCCGTGTGAATAATGTCATGTGAATAAGTCCCTGGTTAATGATTTATATAACATTTGAAGCTAAAAAGAAAGACCTGCAATTGGCAAAATAAGCTCTTTATTGCATAATGCATCATTAATAATGGGCTAATTATGAAAATATAAATACTTTCCATTTCAGTTTCCAGAATTTGATGATATTTATTGTAGATATTGTTTTACACATGGTCTCGATTGGTTGATTACCTCTGTAAGTATGCAAATAAAAATATGACATGTTGCCTAATTAATTTTTCTTTTACATTATGCAAATACTCTGCAGAAACTGCACACAGAGAGGGCAGCATTTAATTATTTATAATGCATGAATTGTATTCACATAGGAGTTCAGTCTGGCTCTCTGCTTCTTGACCATAGAGTTGTATTTCAGTTTCATCAAGGTTTTATTTGGTAAGCCTAATGATAAGAAAGGTTAACCTTTGTTTTGAAAAATGACTTTTGTTGTGAGAATTAAGTTTTTGAAAATCGTATGTTCTATAAAATTATTAGTAAATTTGTGTTCCACGTTCTTATAAGGAATTATGCAAGAATAAGAATGAAAACAACTAACCACTAATTTAATGTCATTATATGGAGTTGTCTCCCCTAGACTACAAGAGACCAATTTCATGTGAAGTGGTCCATCATAACAAAAAATGAAATTAATTCTGTGAATTGTAAATTTTATGATGCTAGAACACCCCTTGTTTAATTCTACCATAAAGTTAAGACACGTGTTTGAAATAATTTTTTAAAAAATGTTGTAATTTGACCTAGGTGTTGCAGAGGCTAAACTGGTGTTTTTGCTACATGTACCTTTAAAGAATTAAAGGATTGTCTTAAAAAGGAGTCTTTTACAGTTGTTTCTTAGATTCAGTACATTTTTACAAAGAAGAAATGTTTCATCTCAAAGAATAACACCCAAACTTAAGTAATTATGTGTACTGTTGTGCTAAACTTTGCTTATCCCTCTGTAACTTACGTGACAGATTCAAATACTTTAATACTTTCATGTTCAATGTTTTACAATAATTTCATAAAAATCTATTAATAATATCTTAATTTTAATGTTTAGTTCTGTGAAATTTGTTTTTGAACTTCTAAGCGAATAATAAACTATTTAGATTTTGCCAAAAATGCACCCCTATGTAAAATGTCATGTTTATACATGTATCAAAAGATGATACCAAAGAAAAAAAAATCTTAGATTGTATTTTGGTAATAATAACTTAATTATAATGAAGTTCCTAAAAACAAACTAAAAAAAATACAAGAAAATCAATAAATTTGTTACACAAACCAATGTAACTTACGTGACGCCATGTTTTGGTTTATATGTGTAAATGTATTTATAAAAAATCTTTTTTGTTGCTGATTTGCAAAATAGAATGAAGAATGAATATTCTTTCATATTATATTTAAAATTATCTAGTCATGTTTCACCAATCACAGAATTTTCAATGCAAAATGTCAAATTATGTTTATTTAATTTTACGTGACGGTTGCATTGTGTTAAATTGTGGAAAAACCACCTCCTATAAAGTTTTGGTAATTTTCAAAATTGACAGGATTGAGATATTCTGATGCATATACATATTGATTTACATGTAATTGATATCAGACAATCTTGCAGAGCTCTAAACTGCTCCAAACCGTAACTTATGTGACATGAAATGGACCAAGACGAGATGATTATCCTGCATGTAGTATTAAATTTTATTCTTTGCAGGGACTTGAAGAAGGAATTACTCAAGTTACAAAGAAAAGTCAAGATGAAAAACAAAGATTTGTATGGAATTTCCCGATTGATATTACATTTAAAAGTACTAATCCAAGTGGTTGTAAGTGTAGCAAAAGTTTTTTTGTCCATTTTCAAAGCTTGCCATGATGCCAGAATCATCCTTACTGTTTATGCTGGATTCTTTAAAAAGAAAATTTATGCAAGCAGCTCCTCTACGTTTATTGTTATTGTCTGAACAATTAAGTTACTTCTAGTTTAAACTCGTTCAGTCACGATAAATTTTCATATTCATTTTGCCCAGATTCTTATTTAATCTTGGTTTTTCTGAGGAATTCTTATTGACCATCACTAGGATCTTTCCCTGGTTAAGTAAGGCAGCACCAATGTGCCTCCCTCTAATTTGTTACATAGATTTGATTATGATGAAAAGACCATCTTACCAGGTCTGAAATTACTAGTTAAAGGCACATTATGGGAGATAAGATAAAGAGATGGCAGTTCTCGCTATAATAGTTAAAAACTAGATAGTGTAAAGGTAATTTTCTGAAAATTTCAGTCAAATTGATCCACTATGAGCCGAGAACGAAGCGGGTGAAATTTTCACATAGTCTCGGTCATCATTACTAAAATCATTAATATAAACAGCATAGTCTCGATTATCCACTTTTTTTGATTTAATTATCAATGGCCGTTAGCGGCATATGGGAATCTAATCCAGCCAACATCGAAGGCTAGCCTTGACATCGAGAGTTTATTATGATCTGGATAAGTTAATTAATGTCTAATTGATAATTTAGATAACATTTCAGGCCTAAAGAAAGACTTGTAATAAACAGATTTTGCTCTTGCATAATGCATGTTTAAGATTACTTGAATTTCTCTTTAAATATTTCTTTAGTTGTATACATTATTGTGACATGTATTATAGGGCCTCAATTAGTTGTGCATGCATATGGACCGGATGTATTTGGAACAGATGTCGTACGTGGTTATGGTAATTGTCACGTTCCTATAACACCTGGAAGGTATGAACTTTATGTCAGTTGAAATTATTTAAATATTCACTTTTCTGATTAGAGTTCCACTGGATGGATTAAACTGCCAAATCCCTTAAGCTTTTCATCATATGGGGCCTGGTTAGCTGCCATGACACACTGCATATATTTTGTAGGAGACGCTATAACCTATCCCATTTTAGACCTTCCTACAAGAGCCCAACCCTGCGAGACCATAGTAACCAAAACGAATTGTCATTACATGGGACAGGGTCAGGTTATAATAGCTATTTTGTAGAATTGGGCTCAGTAAGCTGGTAACCATAATGACCAGTATCAAATGGGTTAATTTCAATACATAATTCATGTGTAAAATACCTGTCATAAAAACTACGTAATTGTAATTAAGGTTTTGAATTCATCTGTTATCCACATTAATGTAAATCAACAAAGTCTCATAATATCTCTAGTTCCTTCTTGTGCGAGTGGACCTGTTTTAGTCATATGGATTGCCTTTTCTTCCAAAGCGCATTGGCAATGGACAATATATAGTTGTTTGGTGGATGGTACTGGAAAAAACGAAGGTCCGCAGACCATAGTGCCACTGTCCGGGTAAAATTTTCCTCATAGAACACCGCATGGTGTATGTAGGTTAAACCCCATTTCCTTCCCAAAATCATAGTATCTTTACGCAGCTTTGTGAATTGTTGTAAAATATTACAGTTTCTTGTTAAAGTACAACCCAAATTAGTAGACAACTCCTGGTTAATTACAGCAGTCGAACCTAAAATTATTAAGGGAACCAAAAATATGAGATCAGTTATATAGTTTTATATTTGTAATGTTAAAAAACATTGTTAGATTTTTAATTAATGTTAAGATAAAGTTGCCTGTCCTAATGCTGTTAATCTGTTTATAGCACATCTGTTCTTGCTGTCTGTATCTTTCAACAAGACATTGTAGAAGCAAGTAAACAATTACCGTTTGTTATGACAGATATGATTGAAATGACCAATTAAAGAAATCAAACTTGCATTTATGTCAATGTGTCAGCTAATAATCATTTTCCTTGTATAAATGTTACAATAATAAGTGCTGAAAAATGTTCTTTAGATAGTAGACAAATGTCTAGCTAGAGAATTAAAAAAAAAACATACGTTGTAATGTATGCCATATATATTCGCTTGGATCGTTGCTGACTGAAATGAATTATTGTTCAAGCATTAGCTAATGATCCAAGAGAAAAAAGATGGTGGCATTAAGAAATGAAGTTTAAATGGTCATAACTTCCCTCAGCAGGAGTAACCTTTTTTGTACGCCCACATGCAAATCTGGTCATATATTGCCGTCGACCCAGTCCGTCATCCACAATTTCTTGTGTACACTCTACAGACTACATTTATTTGTATTGATATAATATGTTGTTTACATCAGTAAGATGAAGAAGCCTATTTAATTTCAATAATTTCCGTTAATTTCTTCTGGAGTTATGACGCTTGTTTCAATTTGTTTCGATCTGTATGAAATTTATATGCATTGTTTATATTACTCAATATTAGTGAAATGAAGAAGCTGTTGAATTTTGTCAATTTCTGTTAATCATGTCTAGAGTTATGGCCCTTGTTTCACTTTGTTGACCCTTGTGAACACTCTTTAACGGCTTATCTAATCTGTATGCAATTTTTATGATTCATTTAAATTTATGAAACGAAGAAGCCTATTGAATTTCAACAATTTCCGTTAATTACGTCTAGAGTTATGGGCCTTGTTTCACTTTGTTGAACCTTCTGAATGCTCTAGCATCAAAAGTTATCACCCGATCTGTATGAAATTTATATGCATTATTTGACTTAGTAAAACGAAAAAGATTGAAGAAATTTCAACAGTTAAGGCCCTTGTTTCAGTTTGTAGAGCCTTGTGGACCCTCAAATGATATAATCTGATCTGTATCAAATTGTCTTGTAACTGCCCCCAATTAACTACAAAAGAATAAATATGCAACGGCTCAGACAATTTAGCTGCTATGGGCGTATGTTTTGTTGCCTGACAACCTATCTTTAGTAATTATTGTATAAATATGCTTATTGATAACACTAACCGCTATTCATATTGTGTATTGTCTGAAAGTCTGGATTTGACTTTTAATCTGTAACTGGAATACTGTGTCTGTAATATACTCTTCAAAAAAAGTAGGGGATATTCAGAAACAATACAAAACTGCGAAAATGCACTGCTGTTTTTATTAGAGGTAACCAGTGTATGTTAATAACAGGCCAATTGCTTACACATGAACATAAACAGTTCATATGGGCGGCTTATCTGACGGCCCCATTTCACTCGCATAGAGATACTGTCAAAAGAGAAATGGACTTTTTTGTTTTTTATCTTAATAATGAGTAATTTCTCCACCAATCCTCAGACATTCAGCAATTCGTCTTGGCATGCTCCTAATCAACTGTCCAATCACGATTTGGGGCAATCTGACCCACTCCTCTTGTAGTGCCACGACTAAATCTTGCAGTGTTGTCGGTTGACGTCGACAAGCACGTCTCCCGATCAAATTAAACGCAACACACTAAAGCAAAGATACGCTAAACAGTAAATCTTATGCAAGAACCGATAGGAAAGCAAACATGGATAGGGATAAACCAGAAAGTGGTAGTTTTCATCAACCCTTCCTTGAAGTGACAAATTTGACAATGAACCCCTCCCACGTGTATGTGGGGGTTGGATGGCTGAATGGTTAGCATGTGTGCGCTGTATCATAAAGCCTGTCATTGAGTTTTCTCTGTGTCCTTTGGTTTCCGCCCACTGCTAAAGACCCCTACGCGCAAGCGAATTATTGAAATAAAATTAAAAACCATATGTTAGTCCCAAAATGACCTATTTTGTGTTGAGTGGACGTTAAACCCAATTTCGCTCTCTCTCCCACGTGTATGGCGCTATTGCGTGTCGTATGTGCAGCTCAGTGGTTCTGTTGGGGCGATAAGTTCTTCATCTGTGAACATACTCTCAAAGCTTGTCAAGTGTCCATGACTATTTATCATATCACAACCTGCATAGGTATTTGCATTTCTTGACGAGTATAGTTTGGAATATTGTGTCTTTTAGTCTCAGGAGCAGAACAGTAGGACATAAACCCCATTTCATTTTATTTCCCATAGTCTGGGTTACTGTGTCTTTTAGTCTTGAATATTGTATCTTTTAAACTGTGTGGGTGTGCTTAGCTAATGCTTCCTAAAATTTGATTTCGGTGCATGTTTAGATTCTACAGAGGCCAATCAATCTTACAATTAGATATTAAGCCATTAGTTAACTATCATTACTGCAAATGTTTGGGTTTTGTTTTGACAGACATAAGTTACACATACCAATGTTTGTACCAGAATCTTCATCAGCATTTCAAAAATTAACTAGTTGGTTTCTAGGGCGTCGACCTGAGTATGTGGACCCCAGAGTTGTAGCACAAGGTGAAGGTAGAGAAGGTAGGTTCTAAAATTTTTAACTTATTTTTTTTATTAAAAATCAAAAATAAAATACTATACTGTAAATGGTTTCAATTTTACTGTATGCTAGTCAATCTATATTTATTTCGATGGGGTTGGGATGCCAAATGGTTAATGGATCCACACTCTATGGGACACAGGGGGGTTGGATGGTCGAATGGTTAGCACGTGCGCGCTGTATCATAAGGCCTGTCATTGAGTCAACTGGCGTGGTTACGAATCCCCGGTTGTACGTGTCAAGGAGTAGGGTCGCCTGTCCAACCTTGTTGGTTTTCTCCGGGTCCTCCGATTTCTCCAACTGCTAAAGACCCCTAGGCGGGAGCGAATTATTGAAATAAATTAAACCATATGTTAGTCCCGAAATGACCTAGTTGGTGTACGGTGGACGTTAAACCCCATTTTTCTCTCTCTCTCTTATGGGACACAATATTTCTGCTTGTAATTGATTTAGATTGTTTATTAGGTTAAGCAGAGTGATAAACAGTTTAATTGCTAGAGATGCTGTTTAAAAAGATAAAATATAAATGTAATTGTCATAATTTAATTATTTTGCGGCCGAAACAAGGGACATCAGCCTCAGTATTGGCTTGTATAATTCAAGTCTTAAAAAAGAAGAAAACGAGTGAGGTTATAAAATCCTTTTGCATGGTCTGATTTCACAGTTATGTGAATGATATTGTTGATATACCTGATGTTGATTTCACAGTTAAGTAATGATATTATTGATACAGGTGACATTGATTTCAGTTATGTGAACAATATTGTTATGCAATGTGAATAATATTGTTATATACAAATGTAGGTGATGGAGATAAATAGAATAAATATTAAGATGCTACTCCCATTGTATACTTGCAATCCATACACTGTCTCATGAAATACAACTTATATATTATTTCCATGTATATTTCAGTTACCAGGGTGCGTTCACAAGGTTTTCTTACTGTTTCTTTTAATGTTGTTATGAAAGATATGAAGAAATTAGGATATGATGTACTACCTTCTGATGTTGTTCATGCCGCCCTGATAGAGACAGTTGGTCCAACACAAGCTGGCACAGAAGCATAGTTCAATAGCCTTATTCAATCTAAATAAAAGCTCTGTAAATGTGTAAATATGTGTATATTAAAAATGTATATTATTATATTTTCAAGTCCTATCTATTCTGATCCTACATGTAGGTAGGACAAAATTGGATATTGGCTGGAGATAATATTCAACAGTCATTCCTTAAATAATCCCTGGATAATCGTTTATAACATACCTATAAATAATTGCTTTATAAAAGGATGAAAGTACAAGTAAAAATATAAATAAATTGAATAAGTGTTGGTGATTCATATCAAAAGGACATTTGAATTAATATTAATGAAAAGAATGTATTAGAAAGTAAATTGTTTCAAGGTAAAAAATGATCAATCTTTTTTTTTTTTTTTCATTTAATTACCCTGATAAAGAATAGGAACTGTATAAGACATGTATTTATTCATGAAAGAAAAGATCAGTTACTTGTCACTTTGGATTTGGAACAGATAAATTGCTGACAATATAATTGAAGGCTCTTAGTCTAAGATACATATAAGAAATAGGAGTATACACTATAAATATTTCAGAATTTTGTACTAATTAAATGTTAAAAATTGTTATATTTAGAATTCCGTCCTAGCAACTAACAATGTATGTTTTTAATTTTATGTACATAAAATAAACTAAATCTTTTTTATAATAATATGTTATAAAAATTATTTTTACATTGTCAACATAATAATGATATTCTTGCAGTTATGAATACCCCTGGTATCCATATGTGTGTGGTTTTTGTCAGCCTCTCTGCTCACCCATCTTCTACAGGTAAAATCATCGGCTATTGTAAATAAAACATGGACTCTATCGACATACTGGGTCGCACATCTTCTTGGACTTTGCAATTAATCATTGAGATTAAGTCCTTGTCACACTTTACCACAGACTCTTTGGATTCATTGTTCAACTATCTGTAAGGTGAATCTTATGCCACAAAGTCAGGTGGGCAATTATTTGCAGCACTGGAAATGTAAAACTTCAACCTAATCATCAAAATTATGTCTTTCTTCTTAATCTGAAAGAGGAATTGTGTAAGAGCTAAATCTGCATATTGTAGGTCTTGTTTCTAGCTTCACATGTTATAAAATTATTATTTAGATATTTATTCACACAACAAACCTATAATCAAATCTCTAGGAAAACAGATATCTTCGATATTGAATGGATTAGAACACATTCTCCTTTTAATAATTTTTTTTAAAAAAAACCCGGATAAACGAGACTTTGTTTAATATCGTAGCAATGGTACTTGTAAGCTTCAAACATTCATTTCATAACTTCACTCAGAATAAAGTAATTTGACTAAAATTTTCACTATATTTATTTATCATTGCCTTTTTCTATACACCCTCCGTCTGTCCGTCAACAATTGGCTTGTGAACGCGATAGAGGCTACAGTTTTCGACCGATTAATCTGAAATTTGGTGGGAAGCTAAAGACCCCTACGCGCAAGCGAATTATTGAAATAAAATTAAATCATGTGTTAGTCTCGAAATGACCTAGTTTGAGTCGAGTGGCGGTTAAACCACATTTTTCTCTCTCTCTCTCTCTCTCTCTCTCTCTCTCTGCTAAGTATAACTGTGTTTGGTAAAATATAAAATGAGGAATACAAGACGAAAACCAAATGGCAAAATCAGAAAACTTCAGTTTTCATTTGTGACATTTTTTTTCTTTTAATACGACAGCCACAACTGCGGGTGAGCGTATCTTTTGTTGTCTTGTAATCACTGTTAAAATTGCACCACTTCTTTGATTCGGTCATATTATCACTAGTTTTATATTTGGTTTTGTAGGGTTGGTCTTTGTTTAAAACTTTAGGTCTTTCGACAAAGCTAGTGATCACTGTAATCACTGTAGTCTTGTAATCACTGTTAAAATTGCACCACTTCTTTGATTCGGTCATATTATCACTGGTTTTATATTTGGTTTTGTAGGGTTGGTCTTTGTTTAAAACTTTAGGTCTTTCGACAAAGCGAAATGAAATGGGGGTTTAACGTCCTACTGTTCTGCTCCGAACTGGGCTAATGAAGATGGGCATACGCCATACAGTGTGCTATGAGGGAAATTTTGCCCGGATAGCAGCACTAGGGCCTACTCTTATATCAAATTCCAACTGTCAAGGGATCTTTTACGTGCACGCCTATGTGTACACAGGACCTCAGGTTTGCATCCCATCCGAATGACTAGACAGCTGTCCTTGTCAGGTCCTCCATCCTGCATCACTGACAAGGTGGAACCACAGCAGAGAATCTGAATGAAATTGCTCAGCCATTGCAGGGATCGAACACCCGACCTCCAGGTTAGTGAGCCAGCGTCTTACCCATGCTAGTGTTGACACATACATTATGTCAAACTTTAAACTCAAGTTAGTAAACAGGATGACTTAAAGATACATTATGGGAGATAAGATAAAGAGCTGACAGTTCTCACTATAATAGTTAAAAACAAAATAACGTAAAGGGAATTTGCTGAAAATTTCAGTCAAATTGATCCACCCTGAACCGAGATTTTAGCAATTGGTTTTTCGGCCTAGCCTCGATCATCATTACTAAAGTCAGTACGATAAAAAACATAGTCTCCATTATCGATTTCATGATTAAATCAAGAATGAAAGTGGAGCAGCAAATGGTATCCTAATCCAGTAAACATTGCAGGCTAGCGTTGACATCGAGAATTGATTAATGTGTGGATAAGTTAATTAAACATGCATTATGCAAGAGCAAAATCTGCTTATTACAAGTCTTTCTTTAGGTCTGAAATGTTACCTAAATAATCAATTAGACATTAATTAACTTATCCAGACCATAATAAACTCTCGATTTCAAGGCTAGCCTTCGATGTTGGCTGGATTAGATTCCTATATGCCGCTAACGGCCAGTGATAATTAAATCCAAAAAAGTGGATAATCGAGACTATGCTGTTTATATTAATGATTTTAGTAATGATGACCAAGACTATGCAAATATTTCACTCGCTTCTTTCTCGGCTCATAGTGGATCAATTTGACTGAAATTTTCAGCAAATTACCTTTACACTATCTAGTTTTTAACTATTATAGCGAGAACTGCCATCTCTTTATCTTATCTCCCATAATGTATCTTTAATGTCTAATTAATAATTTAGATAACATTTCAGGCCTAAAGAAAGACCTGCAATAGGCAGATTTAGCTCTTGCATAATGTATGTTTAAGCAAAATCTTTCAAATGAAAACATTGTATAGACCTTGCCCCAAACCACTAATCGAAATAACACACCAGATTAACACTATTTACCACCTTATTCTGATCTAATCCAAAAAGATTTAGCTGCTTTAAAGTACAGACTTCTTTTATTAGGAATAATATAAATATAGTCCATCAATAGAATAGGATTATTACACAAAGTTTACACAACTTTGAGGGATGGATTGAAATTGTACCCAATATCGAATATTCCAGATTGTGCACGTAAAAACTGCTCTTTGAAGTTGCACGTAAAAACTGCTCTTTGCAAGTTGGAATTAGAAAGAAGAGTAGGCTGTCCAGGTAAAATTTCCACCATAGCACACTGAATGCCTTATGGATGTTTTCATTAGCCCGGATGGAACAGAAAAGTAGGACGTTTAACCCAATTTCATTCCAGTTTGTTCCCTTGTAGTTTTGGGATCAGGAGCTGTGGTGTCAAAGTGAGAAAGACGTTGGCTCCCTAACCTGGAGGTCCCGTGTTCAATCCCGGGGTTGGCTGAGAAAGTTCATTGGATTTTTCCGGCGTGGTTCCCCCTTAAAATAGTCAGTGCTGCGGGACAGGGGGCCTGGTAAGTAACAGCCTATAGTTCCTTTGATGGGACGAAAACAGAGGTCGTGTGCACATACTGGAGTGCACGTAAAAGATCCCTTGGCAGTTGGAATTCAATTTAGAATAGGCCGTAGCACCGCTGTCCCGTCATATGGCCGTATTCATTAGCTCAATAGGAGCATAACAGTAGGACGTTAAATCCCATTTCATTTTTGGGGTCTTGGCAGTCCATAAACAATTATGGTTGCAATAGTTATTTATAGTACTGTCTTGTCGGTGTATATCGACACTATAATGGAAACAAATGCTTTGATTTTCGATAAACAATGGATCACCAACAGCTACAGTAAGATATCACCGACAGAAGGAAACATTGTCAATGATTTAGCGTTTTCTAACATCGTAGATTAATCCATTATTTCTAAAAGAGTCCTTGTTCTTACCGATGGAATCATCGATTGCATTTTTATCTCGCCACTCAATTATTTACTTGAGAACTTTTGTCTGGCTACTTGACTAAAACTTAGCTAACATGCTAAAACAACTAACAAAAAAATGTTATTTTTAGAAATAAACCCTTCCGTGCATTTCAACAAGCAGTTTGGCCATTGTTGAACGCACATATATTAAAATCAAAGCCAGAATTAGAGATGAAGTATTTTGATGTGTAATTGTCGGCTGTAAAGTGCGTGTTTTATTGTGTTCAGGTACTGGTACTTTAAAATCAACCGAGAGAGAGAGAAAGAGGGGGCTAAACGTCTACTCGGCACAAACTAAGTCATTTCGGGACTAACATGGTTCGATTTTATTTCATTAAGTCGCTTGCTTGTAGGGGTCTCTAGCTGTGGGGGGGAACCCGGGGAAAACCCACGAGATTGGACAACTCCTTGTCACGTACAAGCGGGTAATCGAAACCACACCACTTGACTCAATGACAGACCTTATGATCAAACGCCCACGCGTTAACCATTCAGCATCCCAACCCCCTGGAAGGCTCTAAGAACCGTTTATTCTCCACCGGCAACTATAGCTTTGTGATAACGTTTTTTTGGGGTCTTCAAAAGAAAATACCGGCGCCCATTGTTGGGAGGATTTGGCGATGCCTTAAAATCCCATTCCGCTATACTTTCGGATTAAAATTTTTGGGTCGCTTTCCAGTGGGTAATAATGGTAGGCAGGCCCGCTGGAGTGGAGGGGCTTGCAAGTACTCTTTATTCCAGGTTGTTGCACGCAAGTATCTATTAGATACAGTAATGTAACTGGAAGAGACCTGGGCACTTATTCACGAAAACTTAAACTTAGATACAATCGAAATTTTAAGAAATACTGCAATTCGATTGGCTGACCAGTAAAATCAATTTGCATATATCCAATTTGCATATTGGTCAGCCAATCGAATTGCAGTATTTCTTAAAATTTCGATTGTATCTTAGTTTAAGTTTTCGTGAATAAGCTCTCAAATTTTAATACTAGAAGTAGAACGTAGACTTTCGGTCCGATTTTCAGGAAATTCGGACTCAACCATAATTATGGTGTAAGGGTGATATATTTGAACGATTTTGAAAATAAGATAAAAATTGCTACCTCTATATAGGATCCACAAGCTAAAAACGTACAATCAGGGTTCATAATCCAGAAAGCTACGGTCCGATAAGCGCAAATCGGATATAAATTGTGACCACTAGATGGTCCACGACAGGGTGACCTTCGGTTGCACGGATTTCCGTACTCTAGTTGAACAATCTGCATGCAAATGACATTTAGTTCAACCTCTGGCCGTGACAAGCCGTACCATGCGATAGAGCACGGTCGAGATAGTTCAAAGATGGCTGAAAAGACTGACACCTATGTAAATTTGTCTGAAAAATATAAAATTGCCAATGCGCTATTTACACCATGGACCGTATTTCAGGGTTCGTGGTAACACCCTAAAGTTAGAGAATATATATAGGCCAACGACTAAAAACTTTGTGAAATGATTCATGTTACCAGTTAACCCGGATGGAGTCAGCTTTGTAAGAAATGTTTTAAATTTCTTCATCCCCATCGACAAAATATAGTTTTAAAAATGAGTAAATAGCAGAAAAAATAGCAGGCAAAACAACTGACATGGGCGCCGCCATATTGAATAGCCAATGGTCCGGGCCGTTTGCGTTAGGGTGCTGGGTCAGACTGTAGTCGTGACCACAGTTTCATCCAAAGGTCGCCCTGAGTATTATATGTTTTACACCATTTGCATAAAGGGGAGCGGTACCCTTCCGAGGCGAAAAGTCGATAATAGCGTGGGGTGTTAATTTCCTAATTTCTACTTTTCGAGTTGCATTTTGGCTTGTATAGCGTGTTGGCGCCTTCTTACTGACATCAATAAATACAAAAATATGACTAAGTCGAAAGTCTACAAGACTGTATACAAGCCAAAATGCAAGTCGAAAATAAGAAATTAGGAAAAAAAACGAAGGGCGCTATTATCGCTGTGTGTTATTTCTTATTTTCCTATTTTCGAGTTGATTTTGGCTTGTATAGCGTGTTGTCG